GGCCAAACGATTCGATTTTCATTCGACGACACCTTTTCACTCGACTTTTTTGCTAAAGATCAAACTTCACTCGACATCACTCGACGCCAACTGATTTGCTCGACAAGGTGGCCAAACGACTATATTTTTCACTCGATTTCTTGTCGATTAAAAAATCGAGTGAAAAATCGAGTGGTTTGGCAGGGGCTTAAGACTTTCTCCTGCAGCCAGCTGAGGGCTACTCTTCTCTCTAACTTTCCTAAATTTACGGTAATTATTGAGGAAAGAGCTGTTCTCATCTCTTAATTTTTCGTCATCCAGGCCGTAACTCTTCGCAACCACAACTGCCTTTCAATTGTTTTTTGAAAACATTCAGCAAGGCAAAATTTTGCTCTTCTATCTAAGTCATGGCAAAAACAATAACTTTTTGCGTCTTCTACAACACCAGCGAATTAATTTCGAAATGAACTGAGTTGAACTTAATGAAACCAAATGAACTGTCGGAAATGAGAGTTTATAAAATAACTGAGACCAGAGCGTAAATACTGTAATGAAAATTAGTAAGAAGAGTTGAGCATGCCCTATTTTACGACAGGTTTAGAAAAATATGCGACCTTTTGGACAGGATCGATGAAAGCCTTACATTTTGTCTAATATTTCAAATTTTCCGACAAACGTTGGATTTTCCTACTATCCGACAAAATTTTTGCCGGGGGGGGGGGGCAGCTGCCCCCTGTGCCCCCCCAGCCACTGCGCCCCTGGGCTGTAAGAAAATATCAATCTTATCCGAGTATTCAAAGAATAAGAGGTAATCTTAGTGAGGCCAATGAATTCGACTTTCAAACGACATCTGTCAGGGAGGGTGAAAAGCAAATTAGGAAATTAAAGCAAAAAGAGGCCACTCCGTATGGAAGAGTTCCAGCTAAGATATTAAACCAAACTCAGAAGATATTTTTTCAATGTATCTGACTTCTTTCTTTAATAGCATGGCTGAATACTGCGAATTTCCTGACATTTCACATTCTGAGCATGTCTTTACAGGGCATGTTTCCCTGTTTTAGTGAATTTTCAGCTCCTGACGTTCATAGATTGGAAGAAATTTATAAAATCATTAAGATTTCTTAGAGCAACGCAAGCAGCTTTTAAGACCCAGGGGCCCTGTCTTTAATGATCAAATTGCTGGTACATGTTTTGGGTTCAGAGACCACAAACCAACACTAATAGAGAATAAATGGACTGCACAGTGTGCTAATGGAATAAATGTACTGACACATGGGCTATATTTATTCAACGTAATTTGACATTTCTTCCACCTAGTTTCTTTGAAGAAACTGCTATTGCGAGTAAGAAAAGGACCTGTACGCTTTGTATGAAAACATTTAAATAATTTATAACGCTCCACATTAGCACAGGTATGTTGTAGAAATACAAATAACGATTCAAGCCCACAAAACATTACAGTACAAGAAACCTTAGGATTATGTGAAGAAATGGATGAAAGTGGATTTTATCTGGTCCTGTTTGTTTTAAGGTGAGCATGATTATTATTATTTTCGATGTTGATATCCAAGGCGTAAGGTTACGGTAAACGTTTTCTGGATGAAAACATCAATTTTTCTGATTTCTTCACATTCTACTAGCCGAAATTTCAAGGCACAAAATGAAGCCATGTTTGAACCAATAGACATTTTGAAAAAGGAAGAGATCCCATCAGTGGTGTTGTGCTATCAAAATAACAAGGGGGGCTCTTGCATAAAATGTTGTGAAAACAATAGCAAAGGTAGAAGTTTGCAAATTTTTGGCATTAGCAAGGGGGGTCTCAGCCCCCTTGAGCCTCCCTATCACTACACCCCTGGATCCCATTTTAACGAAGGTTTCCATAATTTTTTTACGTTGCTTTGCGGTTGTGCTCGCATGTCTCATTTACAATATTGCATGTATCCCATGTACGGTTCTATTTATTTAAACAGGCTTATTTAAAGTGTCATTTTACATGCTTTGCCAATTGTTTTGATATGGTTGGAATCGCCACATTCTTGTGCATCGAATGATGTATAGTTTAATCTGATTCCGTTAATAAATTGGCTCAAAGGGAGAGAAAACCAAATATCGTGTCAAAAACGTTTAACATAACCTCCCTTCTATATATTCAAACATTTTGTTTTATTTCAAAAATTCCAGAAGCCATGAAATAGTCGCTTTTATTTTGAAATAGAATTGTCCGTATCTGTACACTGAAACATTGCAAACAATATGTTAAATAGAAAAATTAAAGTCTAGATATGAATATCTGATATTAAAACAAAACGGTCTCCATCTTTAAAGTGCAGTAAAGCCGTTTAACTTTCTTAGTGAAAAAGCTAGTTTTGTTAGGATCAAACTATTTGCTAGTCGTATTGCAAAAATGACAGTTTCTGCTTGAGGCACATTGATCTGTTTTGTGTTTGTAATTGCGATTTTGAGGTATAAGAAGACCGATAAAAAGCCTTATGTGCTGTCTACTTTAGTTAGCCTGCGCGCAGACTCAACTGGTTTTCCAACCGAAGAGTTCAGTTACATGAATCTAAGTTTAGTTGAATAGAAGGTTTCCATTATGGCCTGACAGGGGGGTCAGGGTCGAAGAGGGCCAACGCTAAAATTTTAAAAATATACCCTCAAATGGTAGTGTTTTTTGACAAAAACCTTCAAACGGTAGCATAAAAAGCGAAATTATTTCCTTGGTAGCATCCATTTCTTTGTGCGCCCTTGGTCCTTTTTAGACAAACTTCTTCATAATTGATTGTTGTTGTTTCGGGAAAGAAAAATCTTATTCATTATCTATAACAAAACCCAAGCTAAACTGAGTAGTTTAGTTATTATCAAAAATGGGCCATTTGGTAAGACCCTCAAACGGACTGGACCCCCTGTTAGGCCTTAATGGGGGTACCCCCCCCCCCCGGGAAATGGCTAAAATCATTCCCGTCGCTAATTTTTATCGCTGGCTCCGAGCAGCAATTCACTCCATGGAAATCTTGTACAACGTAGAAGAATCCTGATGTTTTATCTGAATATCCGAAGAAATCATTTTTAGATGAAAATTTCGTTCGCATTTTACAAGAGTGCATGTCCTCATATTGTGCCCCTTGACTGTCCTCATATTTGTTGGTCATTGTGTTCAAGAAAAAGCTCTAACACGTTGAAATAACTTTCAAAACAATCAACATATCAAATAATTTTGCAATTTTATGGATTAATTCTCTCGAATAACTAACAAAACAATTTTCTGTTTTAATACAGATTGACAAGAAGTAAAACTTTTCGAAATTTTCCAACAGGTTGCAAAACTAACTATTCTAAATTCTTTTTAACGACAAAATAGACTCAAGTAAACGATTGTTTTTCTTAATTCAAGAAACATTCATTTTCAAGAAGTGGTTGACTTTCAAAATAATTTGCCCGAGACCCTATGCTGTTAAGTCAGAGTTAAGCTCTAACCTTGAAGTTGCCAAAGCTGGAGATGATATTAGTGGCGTCCCAACGGGGTGAACTCGGGATGGAAAACTCGGCTGGACTCCAAACTATCGATTCCTTTTTTGTTTAAACTTGTTGAAAAACCTTTGAGGGGGAGGGAGGAGGGTGACCAGATTTTCGTTCTTGAAAAAAGTTGCTTTTCCAAAGATTTTAAATAGATCAAAAATGCTAAAAAGGGCGTTCCCCACGTTTTCCAAGTGTCTGAAGGGCGTGGCCGAGTAAATATTGTTTGTCCATCCCAATTTCTTTGTCTGGCGATGCCACTGGATTAAGTCAACCCCCAAATTACCCACCTGTGCCTCTATTAAAAAAAATAATGACTTTTTAGCTTATTCTGCCACATGACAACATGCTGGATTCTACGGCTCCCGTGCAAAACAGAAGCGAACTTCTCAATTTCCGCAGCTGGCTATGCGTTAGATCACAACGTATTTGTAAGACTGACAATGTCCCTTGAGGATTGCAAGGTTCACTGCATGTACACGGACAATTGTCAGTCATTGAATTACAAAGTTTCAGGTAGTGAAAACTGTGAGCTAAGCAGAGAAACAAACGTATCCAAGCCTAACGATCTGGTCAAGAAGAGTGACTGGACATATTACGCGACAAATCAAAAAACGACCCTGGTAAGCATACCAAATTAGTTGCTGCGCTTGAAATGCGTTGTCTTCTTTAAAGATGTTTCTTCATTCATTGGCAATTGGCAGATATCAAAGTGACTAAAACTAAGCCGCTGTCAATCAAAGATTGGCCAATCAATAAATGTGATGCAACTCACACAGTTATTGATTGGCTAATAGAGTAGCGAAGTGTGACGTCATCAAAAAATCTCTTTGAATTTCTAAAATTTGACCACATAATCGGAAAGAACGACATAAACAACCTTTGAATTAGCAAAATCATTTGGATATGTTCAAAATTGGGCGAGATATGGTCAATGAAAGATTCAAAGTTAGCTAACGGATTACTGCTACTCTGGCCTGGTTCATAAAGTTATTAATCAAGTCCAAATTACAGAGGTTTGATGGGGCAAGAGCCTGTGCTCGAGAGGGGAGTGGCCATATCTCAGCCAATTTGTGACAAATTAAATTAATTTTGTATATTTTCAGGTATTTCATGACGCTCTTTCAACTTATGTCATCAAAATTCAAAAATTCTAAAAATAGATTATTTTTATGACATCATCGCTTTGGTACTCTGTAGTTGACTGACTGACGGCTTATGCCATATAAGTATCTTTCTGCTGCCTTTAATAATAAACAAATAGCTGGCAGAATGTATTTTTCACTGCTTAGGCATTGCGTTTGATATTTAATATTATTCTGAAATTTTGAGCGATGCAAAATCAACATTATTCTGAAAACGATGCAAAATTAAAATACATAAGACAGAGACTGTCCTTAATAAAACGCATAGAATAGAGCGCAATACAAACGATACCTTCCAGAAGCTGATATCTAACTTCTACCCCTATTATTCAGAAACACGTTGGTCACATTTTGCACGAAAAAGAGTTAAGTGGCATATAAAAAAATCCTTAAAAAGTTACCATTTTTTTCAAAGCGTTAAAAGAAAATTCTAAAAGCGTAAAAGAAGAACATTGTCTTTAGTTTTTCCTCTTTTATTTCTTCAATAACATACCCAAAAATGATATGAGACTGTTCCCGCCAGTTCTGGTCATTCTTCTGTCAAGGCATAACCTGTTACTTACAATTAATTTTGATTTCAGATTGGATCATTTTGCCAAAGAGAGCAGCCTTGCAAGGAAAACGAAGTCTGCATTGATGACTGCGTATGCCCTGGCTATCGTTGCATTGCCTGCTCAATGGAAAACATTTCTACCTATTGCTCTGCATTACGTGAGTAATAGTAGTGTCTTGATCTAAGTAGAAACCCCCTACTCTCAACTCAGTTTAACAGCTACAGTTCCACCGAAAATTTACAAAATTTGCCTGTTTTCTTTGTATTGTAAGGCAGCATGTTTATTTTATATTTTTTAATTTGCTTCTACCTAGCATCTGAAGATAGTTTTAGGACACTGAGAAGCTATGCTTATTGAACAGTGTTCTGGTTCAGTGTTCATATTTGTAAAGCATTGTTAAACTTTTACAGTACAAATATGATTTGTTTTTGCAAAAATTGCCATGCTACTAGGAGTCTAATTATGAGTTGAGACAATTTAATTACGAGCGGATTCCTATTTGCTAACAGACGCAGGGGCAAATGCCCCTTTGCCCCACTTACAATGGACCGTATAGACAGATCAAACTTTTTTAATTTCATTTTATGTACACTGCTCATTTTAAACATGATTATGCAATTTAGTTAAGAATGTCAATTAGACCCATCTTCATCCGTAAATAAGAAAACTGTTTACACGATACCATTTTTAAATGAACACTAATATCATACCATATACAAATGATACCATAAACAATTCAACTCAATGACCAATTTACAAACGCTAATAACTACAAAACGGCTAAAGATATGAAAAAAATAATAACAGATTCGTTTTCAGGAGGTCTGATTTCCTCGTATTCTGAAATAAAAATTTTGGGCTAGAGTGTCCCTTTAACACGGAGACGCTGACGAATAAGGTATGAAGTGAAGACGTTAACAAGTACGATATGAAATAGTTTATCTTGTTAACGGATACGCAAAAAGGCTACTATTATTGGGAGGCCTATTGTATGAGGTCTAAAAGCCGCAAAACAATGCACAAGGATTGCAAAACGTGTCGTGGCACAATAAGTGAATACTCGCTAAGAATAAAGGGAAACATTGCTAGAAGTAACTTTATGTCAAGTTATTTTGGTTCTCACTCTGTTTCACGTCGCATTTGACCAAACACAAACATCATACAAACACAAACACAAACAAGCTGACATTTCACGTCATCTAACGACGCAAGACGCATGTCGTAATCGTAATCTAACGAAGCCGTAACCTGCAGAAAACCCATTGCCAAATCCGTAGATCGCACGTAGAAATGGGGTCGTGAAGCCGCAAACTTATATTAGGCCCCCCTTATAAAAGGACAGGTGGCATCATCGTGGATTCGAATCGAATTTGGCTCTGATTTAGTCGTGTACACGATGAAGATTTCACTTCATAACATGTTGATCAGCGTTGTCAGTTCATACATGAGCATCAGCATCAAATGTTTATAACAGACCTAGTCGTCTATGTGACAAATTTTTCATCTAGTTCGTGCAAAACGTACAAAATCAATATCAAATTTGTATCAGAATTGATCGCCTACACGAAAACGATTTCATACAGTGTTGGTCAGCGTTATCATTTCATACGTGTTCATCAGCATTAAATTTTGATCAGATTTGTTCGTATTTACGATAAAGGTTTTATCTTATACAGTATTACTGAAAGAATATACTTAATACAAGTGGGTCAATATCCAAATTGCATCGAATATGGTCGCTCACACGATAATAATTTTCTGTTCATATTGGCATTGGGGAACTTCATCGATTTCAGTAGGCCAATACGGTATCTTATTATATCGTATTTGCCTCAAGATGTTACCGTTTGCGTCTTAATTTCATACTGTAATCACAATTGTCTCAGTGTAATCGGTAGACCAATACAGTATGTTATTGTATATGTCAAAAGTTTACCATATACCGTATAGGTCTCCATTTCATTCCATATTCATGAGTATTCGTGAGTGTCTCCGTGTAATCGGTAGGCCAATTGCAAAGATACGTTTTTTTAAATGAATACCTGATTTTTGCTGAGCTTCAATGTTCTTAAATTTTTTTTGATTTTGAGCCTAAGAATAATTTTGAGCCTGACATTATCTTAAATTTCAGCGATTTTTAGCGTTAATATACTTATAGAAAATATTCTTGTATAAAAAAGTGTGTATACCAACATGGGTTGTTATCGTCTATCATTCATTTGAATAAGGTATCTTGACAACGGAGCCTTTAAAAGTTTAACACCGTAAACATTTCAATATGCCACGAAAAGTGGAAACATAATTTGTTTACAAACGGATGCTTTGTCCGCCAAATCTCCGAGGAAAAACGTCTGATTATGAACAAGTTTTCGTGAGAAAATAACTATGGACTTAAGAAGATTGTTCTAGGATAAAATACAAATTATCTTATAACAAAAAGATCTATTAATGATCTATCATTTTATTTCTAGTACAATTTATTACTGAATTTTCATAGTTTTTTTTCTATTACATTGTACAGCACGCAATCTAGTATATTGAGGTTCTCGTAAGCCTGATAAAAATTAAACTTAACAATAATTTAATTTTATGTTTCTTGAATATTTTTCGAACTATGTTGTGTTGCAAGCTATTGTCTTCTAAAGCAGGAGGAAGCAAGCGGGGGTTCAGAGGGGGCCTGGGCCTCCCAATATTCTAGAGGTCCCAAAAACAAAACGTTTGCAGATGGTATTGAGTTTGAAAATGTGCACATGTTGCCTCGTTACCCCTACTCCCGCGAATGTGTTGGTTTGTGCATGTTTGTGCAATACCTCTGTACATTATTATTAATATAGTCATTTTTTATATGTTTGTAAAATAACATTTCGGGCCCCCCAATGTCAAAGTCCTAGCTGCCCTCATGCTCTAAAGTAATGATACGGAATGAGATTATATAGTTGACTTGGTTTTCTCAAATTATTTGAATTCCCACAAAAATTAACTGCATTACATCTCTTAATCTATAAGTCAAATGAGTTGGCGATTAGGAAATTTGAAAGCTCTTTCAGCTTTGACAGAGAAAGTAAAAATTGTAAAAATACATCTAATGGATTATAAATACATTTAATGGATTATAAAAATATATTAGAAGGTAAACCTAAATAATCCCCTGAAAACTTTTCAAATGATCCATTTAGTGCCACGGTACCTCTATCCATTTAAATCTCATCCAATATCAGTCCATTTAAATACTAGCTCTGTCAAAGCATACAGAACCTAAACTTTCACTTAGGATAATCTTTGTTTTATATGAGACTTCATGTATGTACAATACGAAAATTTAAAGCATAGGTGTGAGACTTATTGCAGCTTTATAAATTTGCATTTCAGCCAAGCGCAGCTGTAAACGAATTTACACCAGAGGCTCTACAACAAGCGGAATCTATTCGCTGGATGAGATTGGACAGCATTATTGTATGATGGATGGCGACTGTGGCCAAGGAGGTTGGACACTAGCAATGAAGGTTGATGGGACAACAGTAAGTACCAGGGGAATGAAGCCCCATCAAACTGAACTTATCAATACTGCCTTTGACTTACTTAATGCTACATTTAAAGATTCAAAATTTGCAATCACTGTTGCCTTGTCCATGATAAAATTGTTAACAATACTTTTTGAAAATTTTAACCCCAAAAAATGGACTATAAAATTTTCGATCAGCATCACTGAGCAATTGCATGACTCAATTAAGTTTTCTCTATTTGTAAAGGCTAGTACTAATATCTTCTAAATTAGGTTCTTACCCAAATGATAGAAGCCTATGGTTCCTCTATTATTGAGCCTCTGTGCCGGATTTTTAAAAAAGTCTTGATACAGAGATTTATTCATCGACTTGGAATAAGGCAAACATCGTTCCCATTCACAAAAAGGGCAGCATGCAGTGTAAAAAAAACTACAGGCCTATTTCTCTGCTTCCGATTCTTGGAAAGATCTTCAAAAAACTGTTATCGACAAAATTTACTCCACTCTTTGTGAAAATGGACTTCTAGCTCCAAATTAATCAGGATTTCGGAACTGCAAAATAAGATAATGAACATTTTCTCCTGCCCTGGCAAAAGCTGAAAATGTGGGGAGCGGTTCTCATAACACTACAATAATTATCAAGGTAACTCCTACCCACTTAGGCCTTTGCCTATTGTCTCCACCAGTTCCCGACGTTGGGGAGGCGAGTTTGCCTAACCTTGGGGAGGCGAGCAAGATAAAGTTTTACAATGAGTGAGGCAACCCTTCATCCTGAAGTTAAAGAGCATGCCCTTACTTTTTACAACATGCTTTTGATATGCACACTAGCATCCTACGTTTTTTAAGATGAGTGTACAAAAGCTTCCCTCAATGCCATTAAAAATCATTATGGGGAAACCATCCCGCTGCATATAAAGCAAAACAAATGGTCATCTTTATTCTCAAGCATAATTATATTGCCTGTACACTCTCTTTTTTATATGAACAATTTTATTAAAACACAATCCTCTAAATTGGTCAAAAGTTAAAACCAAGCGGAGGCTGTGCTGCTGTAAAATTTAACTTTGAACAATGTTTCATCTAAAAGACGAGGAGTTTTTAACCATCTAGGGGTCCTTATTCGGCGAACTTTCAAACTGGTTGTAAAATAAAGGATGTTTCACTCACTTTGTTGGCAAACGAGGCTTGAACACTTCCCTAGAGCGCAATTGCTAGCAATTGCACAGCTTATAATTTAAGAACAAATTACGAACAATCCATCCTCAGGTTTTCGAAAAATTTAGAACAGCCAGCCTGAACTTCAATTTACTGGTTCT